TCTTATAACTTAATTTGTTTCTCTTCATTTATATTTTGCCTCAGGGGTTTTTACCTTTTTTTCTGTATATCCTACTTTCTTGCTTCATGTGTCTGATGAGCTGACTGGTGGGACACTGATTGGCTTCTGTACGCAGATCTCTCTCTCTCTCTCTCTCTCTCTCTCTCTCTCTCTCTCCCTCCCTCCCTCTCTTCCTTGTTCTCCTCTCTCTTCCCTCTCTTCAGCCTATATTTCTCCTCCTACTTATTCTCTCTGCCTATCCTTTCTCTGTCTACCTATTGGCTGTTTGGCTTGTTATTAGACCAATCAGGTGCCTTAGTCAGGCGAGGTGAAACAACAACACATCTTTACATCATTAACAAAGGCAGTGTAAACAAATGTAACACATCTTTACATAAGTAATTTCTATAACATGTGGGAGGCAGAAATAGGCATACCTCTAGGAGTTCAATGCCAGCCTTTTTCTTTCTTTCTTCCTTCCTTTCTTTTGAAACTTGAAGTTGGTTGGCATGGTAGTTTGAATGAGAATGGCCCCCATAAGTTCATATGTCTGAATGCTTGGTTCCCAGTTAATGGAAATGTTTGGGAAGGGTTAGAAGGCGTGACCTTGTTGGAAGCATGTTTCAGGGATATACTTCGAGGTTTCAAAAGCCCATGCCAGGCCCCATCTTTCTCTGCCTGCTGTTGCCATCAAGATGTAAAGCTCTCAGCTACTCCAATGCCTTGCCTGTCTGCTTCCACAGTGATAATCAGGAACCATCCCTCTGAAGCAGTTAGGAAGCCCTCAGTTAAATGGTTTCTTTTAAAGAGTTATCTTGGTCATGGTTTTCTTCACAGCTATAGAACAGTGGCTAAGATAGATGGGTGGGGAAGTGAAGAGGATCTGGAAGAAGTTGGGGAAAGGGAAAGAATACAATCAAAATATACTATATGAAACAGTAGAAATATACTAAAAATCAGATAAACGCAGCTTAGCATACATTCCTTATGAATATTTTGTTTTGCATTCAATTTTTTACTACTTTAAAACTTTTAAATTAATAATAGTAAAAACAGATAAAACAAAACAGCAGACATAGGCCAGTGAAATAGAATAGAAAGCTCAGAAATAAATCTACACACATATGGGTCAGCTAATCATTAACAAATGAGTCACAATAAACAAATGGGGGAAAGTTTGATAAATAATAAGGGGAAAATTCTCAGCATGCATACAGACCTCTCATGATAAACATATAAATGCACACACACACACACACACGCATGCATGCACGCACACTGGCATCAACAACTGCTACTCAAAAAGGATTAAGCAAACATAAAACTTGCAACCATAAGTGCATTGCTAGGAGACAGGAAAAGGGCGGTGACATTGGTCTTTCAGTTTTTTGATTTGACACCGACATAACAAACCGCCAAAATAAAAATAATAGATCGAATGGGAAAAATCTGCACAAGAAAGGAAACCAAAATGCACCGTGGAATGAGAGAAATATTCGCCTATGGTTTGCCTAGTGAGTCTCCTGTACACCTGGAACCCTCACACTTGGGGACCAGAAGCCGGAGGATCGGGAGTTCAAGACCATCCTTGGCTGTGGAGAGAGGGTATGAGTACAAACTAAGCTCCAGGAGACCCTACCTCAAGAATAAAACCATGTAAATAAAGCCCTAGGTAGCCCAATAAAAATGACTAAAAGATCTGGTTAGACATTTATTTCCAAAGAAGGCATACTGGGGCTCCATCAGCATCACTCATCACCAGTGAAGCACAAATCCTGATGGAGGCAGGCAAGCATAGGGGATGGTTTCGTATCCTGGGACTCCACCTAACTTGGACTACACCCTCGCCTGGACTGATGAAGTTGGCATCACAGTGCCTTTACCTGCATCTCTTAAGTACAGCTCACCCCCAACAGTGCAGCAGGCAGCCCTGGACCCCTCTCTGCATTGGGCTGCACCTGCAGTGCTCCTTTATCTAGGCAGTGGGATGTTTCTCCTTTCCTAATCACTGCCAAGCTTAGTTTCCATTCAAATATATTCCCGATGTGTCTGGGTAAGGAGAGGAGAAGTAGAAAGGTCAGTTTTTCGAGTGCATTTACAGTAAGGAAAAACTGTGTCTTTAAGTAATCTTTTAGGGAGAGGCCCCCCATGAAACACTGAGCATGTGGAGGCAGGAGGATCAGGTCGTATTTGAGGCCACCCCAGTCTACAAAACCCCACCTTAAACCTAAACCCCTACAACCAAACTGAACAAGGAAGTTCAGATGCATTATGGGAAGGGACAGGTGCCATCAATGATATGCCTATCCATAGAAAGATTACTACCCATGTTACACCCTAGTCACTTCTTGAATCCCATAAAAGGAGCCCTGAGCCATAATCAGAGCCCTCCAGTGTCTTCACGTATGTGATCTGTTCTGCCTTTGGAGTATACTCATCTTTTCTATGATTTAAATAAAATTTCCCTGCTACTTTTGTAGATCTGCGTGAACTTTTATTTTAATTCCTTGAACCAAGAACCTGGAAACTCTTGACCTTGCCCAAGTAGAGTAACACTCATTGTGAGATAGAACCTTACTATTGATTGGATGACAACATGGCTTTTATATTGTCATCTCTCTGGAGGCTCTGTGCGTTGAAACCAAGCTACCATTGTGAGGTGCTTGAGAGGGTCAAAACTTAACTGGAGTATGGTGTCTGAGGGCGGGGCCTTAGAGAATGATAAGTGTAGTATAAATTCATCACGATGGAAGCTTATGATGGGTTCTGGTTCTTTATTAGGTGGAACCACATTCCCTCTGCTTGTTATGTGGTCTCTGCACTGTCTAGGGACTCCTAGAGAGAAAGCACGGGCCCTCAACCTGGGATGCCCAGAATCATGATCTGAAATGCAGGTAACAGCGTATCTGACTCTGTGAGGGGACTTCCAGTCAGGCTGTAAACCTCTCCATGTGGGCAGCACCACCTAAACAAAAGCAAAGACCCAATCCATCAAAGGCAATAGTTCTGGGAAGTCTCAAATGTCCTAACCTTGCTTTTTAGCTTCTGTAGTTCCACTTCTGGCTAACAGTTCTTGTGAACTGGAGTATGTCAATCCAGAACATGTTTGTGTTTAGAAGCTCATCCTGAGAAAGTCTAGGGCTATGCCGGGATTCCGAACACCCGGTGTTGTTGCCGGCTGGCTACTGAAGATTTCCTATTGGCTTAAGTCCAACTCTGAGCAGTCTTCTCTGGTGACTACCCCACAAGAGAACATTTTAAACAATTGGTTGTTCTACCTCAGTTGCTCTTTTATAATGAAGAACTATTACAGATAGCTACCAAAAAGCCAAAAGAAAACAAGTGTTGCTTAGGCTGTGAAGAAAACTCATAGATCTGTTGGTAGGAAAGCAAAGGCAGAGTCACATGGAAAGCAGTATAGAAGCACCTCAGAACATTAAAGCCGCCATATTACTTTATGACTATAATTCTGGGTATATGCCCCCCCCCAAAAAAATCTCAAAGACTGTATGTGTGACAGTGTCTACCCACTGCAGTGTTATTCGCCAAGATATGGAAGCGACTCAGTTGTCCTATGCTTGATGAATAAAAATATGTGGAGCAAATGTAATGGAGCAATGTTCACCCCTAAAATGAAAATCTTGACATCTGATGTTAACATGTGCCCTGCGCTCGGCCTCGCCTGCAAGAACCACGCGGGACACAGGATCCTTCTGCAGAAAAGCTTTATGCCTCTTGGGAGCTAGAGCATAAGCCACATGGCGGAGACCCAGATATGAAGGAAGCCATCCCTTATATATGAAACAGACCCTGCTTCGGACGTGTCACTCTTGGATTGGTCCGCTGCTCCCAGTCCCAGGTGATGCCTCGGGAGTAGGCGGGGACAGCAGTGGAAAATTACCAACACGTGTGCGTTCACCTGGCGGTGAAGCCGGATGTCAGCGCCATCTTGATGATGGAGAATGTGGCTGCGGCCTTCTACAAACATGGATAAAGTAGAAGGACCTTGTGGCTAAGTGAGAGAGGCCTGGTACAGGAAGACACAAAATTTCCCTGGGATGGGGAGTTTTGTCAACCTGACACAACCTAGAGTCACCTGGGGGAGTGAGTCACTGCCGCAGGAGCACCTTTCCAATAGCCGCCTGAGTACGAGCCCACTGTGTTGCGGGAGAGCCTTCTGCCCCTTCAGCCAATAGCTGCTGAAATACCAGCCCACGGGGGCGTGGTCTATTGCTCTTTAATAAAAGAGCCTCGGCTTGCTCTCTTTGTTCTGGCGCTTGGTTCTGGCTCCTGCTTCAGCGACTGGGCTCCTTACCTGACGGTTGGTGTTTTGTAAGTTTTACCCCCCAAAATAAATACCCCTTTAAATCTTAACTGGTGTGGGACTGTTTCGTGCATCAAGTCACCACGAGGGACTGTTGACCAGGCTCTTCTGCAGCAGGGTCCTGATTATTTTTGAGGCGGGGAAAACTCCACAGACAGAAAGCGAGCAAACCGGCATGCATGCAACCATTCTCCTTGCCATGCGGCATGCACGCAATCTTTCTCCTTGCCATGCGGCATGCACACAATCTTTCTCCTTGCTCTTAACTGTGATGTGACCAGCAGCTCTGAGTCCCCACCTCCTTGACTTCTCTGCAGTAACAAAAACCCTTCCCCCTACCCACGTTGGGTTTTTTGTCACAGAAGCTGGAAACCAGGACACTCACTGATGTGTGCAATCTAGAGAAGATGAATTTTTAGGAACACACAGTGGAAGGATACGACTGAGAAATGGAGAGATCCTGGTCACAGGGAACAAGTATCAGTCACAAGAGGAATTCTGGAGACTAGATAGCGTAACGAGTGACCACAGCTAGTGATAATTACTGGACACTTGGAACATGCTAAGGCCACAATCTTAGACATCTTTCCCCAACACGGGGTAAGCTGCAGTCCTTATATCAACCAGTTAGATTTCAGGGATCATCTCATAGTACATATACCAAAACATCACACACTGAAGTACAGGCAAGCTTTATTTGTCAATTGTTCTCAATACGGTTGGGGAAAAGAATTCTCCAAGTTCAACAAGAGCTGACTCTCAAGTTAGCGGCAATAGCAGTAGTTTTAACACTTCTATACCAGACACCGAATGAAGTCTTTAAAAACATTGTTTCTGCGGGATAATTGAAATTATTCCTTGTTTTAGAATGTCACGGAGGGGTCCGGGTCAAGGTCACTCAGTAGGAAAGCAGGAGCTGAGTCTGGAATATGCCTCTCTAGACTGCATGCTCTTCCCTCGTACGCCTTGCACTGCCCAGAGCAGTTCTGGGCCGTGTGATCAACAGCAACTTGTGTGTGTTCAGTGGAGAAAGGTATGGTAGCCACCCAGCTCTCTGCTGGTGGAACACTGGACCCCCCAAGTCCCGAGGAAACAAACAGGAATTAGGATTTCTCCGGAATCTCCCTGGAAAGAGAGGGTCCTAGAGTCTTGCACCTGGCAGGGTCCTCTGAGTGGCCCACGTCTTGTATGTGTGTGTCTCTATGCACACACGAACGGTGACACAGCACTACAAGGCACTGTAGGAGAAAAATCAAAGCCTTTGTCTCTTTCCGTTTTGTCCAAACTGTAAATAAATCCATTTTCCTTTGCCAATTCTGTTTATATATATTTGGGGTGAAATGCAGAGAAAATGGGGTGACAGACTGTGGACACGGGTATCTTCTTAGACTAGAAGTTCACCAAGAATGTGTTCGGGCTGGGTTCTGGGTACTTTATGGAGTCCTCGGAGAATAGAAACGAACCACAAAATGGGGCTTGCCACACAAGTGCTTGATTGGAGCCCCTCTTGCCTTGGGTCTTTCCTAGAGAGAAACTTTCCCTCATCATCCAATTCAAAATAGCAGCCCTGTCTCTGGGACACGCGATTTAATTTTTCCTCAAGGCATTTCTGACACCTGCCATGGTGGGACTCACGGTGATGCCTCAGCCTTCCTACTGGAGCACCATTTTCCCAGCACTGTCTTTGGGGAAAATTCTGTGCCTGGTACAGAGCAGCCACTCAAAATTTTGTTGAGCGAATAAATCTGAGTCCCTGAGAAAACGCTTCCATTCGTTCCTGTCACAGCCCAGCCCCTTGTCCACAAGCGGATTCAGTATGTTCCTTAGCATAAGGTCATGGAATTTTCTATTTCTGCTGCTACTGTGCTAGGTTTGCAAACTCTTCTCGGCTGCACTTAAACTCTTCTCGCCCATAATCTTCCAAAGACAATGAGGCTGTCTCAACATCTTTCCCCATGCTGTGAAAAGGGCCACGTTCATGGAAAAGATTCTGTAGCGATTAACCAATCAGAAATCCAGGCCGGAAGACAGGAATGTTGTAGACCAAGGGCCAAAATGACCTCTGGCTAACTTCAGTCCCCCTTAAAAGCCATTAATGACCAATTTCTGTTTCTGACCTCTAATGCCATTGTTACTGTCAGGCAATACTTTGGGCATGTGTTCTCTGAGTTGGACCACTGACTCCCACCAGCCCCAAACCCAAACCTGGGCTGGGTCCTTTTGAAGAGATTTCCTTTCTCTTCTGTGCTGTGTAGCTGACATCCCCACCATTGTATTGTATTAGTCTATGACCCTTTGCTCTAAATTATGAGCATCCATGTAGCCTCTTCTATGGAGGAGAGTACTTGCACTTTCAAGATAACCTCCATGTGAGTTTCTTGGCATTGGCCACTCATATTTGGCTCAAAACAAATTCTCCTATTCCTTTTGGACTAAGAGCTGTGTTGTGTGCAATTTTTCACTCCACTAGACAATGAAAAGTATTCCAGATCAGGACATAAAAGGATCATTTAAAAACAGTCTAGGACTAGAAGGATCATTTCAAAACAATCAAGACAATATTTCATGTAGGAACCCATGTGCTCAGGTTTGCCATTGCAACTCCTCTCTCGGGTTCATTATTGGACAGATTCTCAAAGACAGCTGCAGGACCAGATCTTGACACAAGTTGGCCAAATTGGGGAAGAGGAAAAAAAATGTCATTTACTGTTTTCAGCTTTACAACTCACAGGAAAAAAAAAATGAGTAGAAAGGTAGGAAATGCAGATTACAAGATTACATCTTCCCGGGATGGGGTGGAGCAGGGTATCCATCCCTTCCACTCCAGAGCATTTCTGCCCCCACCTTCGGGGGCCTGCCACTCAAACTCTGCCGGCATTGCTTCCTTTGCATCTTGCTTTCGGCTCTGTCAGTCTCAGCCGCCCCGGAACTGAAAGCCTTGGGACTCCTCTTGGCTTCGTTCATCATCTTTGTCACGAAACCACAAAGTGGAATTCCTGGAGTAGAATCCAGAGTCGTGTGGACAGAGCTGACTGTCCTGGATTTCTTCCTCCCCGTGAAGAACGTGAAGGATGTGCATTGCCATCCGCAGAAACAAGACACAGCTTCTGCACTTTAGTGAAAGCCCTGGGACTAAGCCCACACCTTTGCCTATACATTTCAGCTTTCGGTGTAGCATTTTTATGAGACTCCCGAGTGTGGGAACGGGTGGCTCTCTGACTCTGGTGCCTTCTCCTGAGCTCTTTTTCATCTGCTCTGCCCAACTTTAATTTGTTGGTTTTTGTTTCGTATTTTGTTAAAGGAAAATCAAACAAAGCCTTTCGGAGTTGTCTCAATACTCTCCGGACATGGACACTATGTGGCCACAGGTGGCAGTTTGCCTTGACTTTCCTTAGAGCTCAGATTGGTTTTTTCAACCTATTCATTTTTTTTTAATTTCTCTGATTTGTAAGGATAATAAAACTTCTCAGTTAACATCCTCAATAGTTAAGGTTCAAAATACCACCGCAGGAAATCCTTAAAACACCACAGGACAAAGGGATTGTTACTTCCCTCACTGCCTCCAAGTGTTTACATTCCACACCTTGGAGACCTCTCTGATTCTAAAAGCCCTAGACAAATTAAGGTTTTTGGAGAGAGACTTCTTATATTCCAAAAGACTGGGGTGAGAATCCTGGATCTTTCCCCCAAGGAACAAAGGCTTATGTCTCGCTGTTGGAAGTCAGGTAGGGGGCAGGCTGCTTCTCATGTGGGTACAAAGAGCTATGTTTTCTTTGTCATGGCTGTACAGTGACCCGCTGTTTGTGGCCTGTGGGACTCGATGGGTGGAAGCCATACAAGCTGTGTTCCTGTTTGTAGCTCAGAGAAACCCCCATTCGTGACTCCAGCACCTTGTATTCTTGCAACATTCATTCATGCATATAAAATGTGTCAGGTTGGGCAAGGAGAGGGACAGTTCCCAAATCCTTCAATTTCTCCACAAAACAGTCTTCCATCGCTGGGATGACCAGCCTTTTAGATTCCTGCCCGTGCAACAGGTGGGGATTGGCTTCTCAGAGTGACAGGCTTTATTTTCTTGGCTCTCTGTGAAATTGAACGCAGGTCCATTTTAGACACATTTTCTTGCTTATCTCTCTGTGGACATTGTCTTTCATGCCTGTTTTTCACCAATTCACATGGACTCTTTACTAAACAAAACAGCAACAGTATGAAAGTAGACCAACGTGGAGGGACATTTAGGAAAAGCCTTGCCAAGCCTTTCTCCCCACCTACTTTTCTTCATTCCGCTCTTCTTCCCCCAAGGTCGTAGTCTGTTTTCTGTTACCAAACAGCAAGAAGGTCCTTGATGCCCACTCTTTACGGATCCAATGGGAAAGATTCCCGCCACTTCCCAATTGATGGGAAAGTCAGGCTCCTTGGAGGGCTTTACTGAAGGAAGTATGTGTCCTTTAGAAATCTCCTGTCTGAAAAGGAAGAGGTGAACCTACAAAAAAAAGGGCCCTGGTTTCTCCTGTGGAAACTTCATGCAAAAAAGAGAGACCATATTGATTTTGACTCTCAGGTGGCTGGTTTCTGCAGCCGGGAACGTGGAATGCACATTAAAGAGGAAGCGCCATGACAGCTGGACTCCCACTTCAGCTGTGGCAAAAGCAGTCTAGAAAAGAACGAGTCAGATCCTCGTCGTCTTGGGTTGTGGGTCACAGAAGCAGCAGCCAAGCAGGACCTCCCCACGCCCAGAAGAACAGGGTGTCTGGAAGCTGGATGTGGATGGCAGATGAGCCAGTTGCTAAGCAGGGAGACAGAGACCAAGGCAATGGGGTATGGCCTCAGGGCCAAGAACTGGAGGCCTGAGATTTATGAGGACGGTGGAGGACACATCTGGACAGCCTTGTGGGGTATGGCTCTGAAGGTCAAGGTGGCCCAGCCTTGGTGCCTCCATGGAAGACCAGTTAGCAGGCCGTGATGGGCAGACTGCTTCAGCAAAGTGTAGGCTCTTTGGAGTCTTAGAGAAGGCGTGATCTCCAAATGTAAGTTCTGAGTGTAGAGAAGTCAGAGGAATCCAGGACTTTGAGCAAACTTGACCTTCCCTGGTCACTGAGACATCAGAAGCTACTAGAGACCCGTGTCTTGTGATAGGTGGGCAAGGACATGGCTTGGAGGTGAGAGGGGGACACTCTGGTGCCCCTCAGTAACGTTTCCTGCTTGGTATCCAGTTCGCATTTGTGTGGGGGGGGAACTCAAGCGCAATCGGCCAAGTTCGTACTTGTTCTCTCATTTTGGCAACGGGAACGCGCTGGGAGCAGAAAAGGAAAGACAAGTCAGTGTTAGAGAAATCAATAGGGGAGACAGTGGTTTGGTTCTTTACCTAGGTGCCATGGGTGACAATCGTCAGATTTCAAGGCTTGTGTTGCTGGAGGTCACTATTTGAGCGCCCACACAGGGTTTCTGCTGGTTGCATATGAACTGCTGAGTGTTTAAAACAGGACCATTGCAACTGGGAAGTAAATTTTAAGTTGTAATTTCTTAATTAAAGTTTGACAGATTTTTACAAAATCCCTGCCGACTCTTTAGCATACATTAAGTTAGAGCAAAGAAAATAACCAGAGGCCAGAATACACACGGAAATGTATTTTCTCAAAAAACGAAGAGCAGGATTAGGCCTATGTAGAAGGAGTGGTGGTCTGCTTTTTGTCCTGCCCAGCTCCTGGCCGCCTGGCTAGCTTGGCCCCCGAAATAATTACATGGAAACTGTATTCATTTTAAACACTGCTTGGCCCATTAGCTTCAGCCTCTTATTGGCTAACTCTCACATCTTGATTAACCCATTTCTATTAATCTGTGTAGCACCACAAGGTGGTGGCTTACCAGGAAGGATCTTAACCCGTGTCTATCTTGGAGAGGAGAGCTATAGTGTCTGCCTGCCTCTGCTTTCTTTCTCCCACAATTCTGTTCTGTCTTCCCCGCCTACCTATGTTCTGACCTATCAGGCCAAGCAGTCTCCTTATTAATTAACCAATGAAAGCAACAGAAATACAGAAGCCCCACCTACATCAGGCCTAACTCTCCATCCATCAGGCAGTAGGGTTGTCTTCTGTAACCTTGGAGCCACTGTACCTATTAACATATAACTAAATGGAGGTCTAAAAAGCCTAAGGCCCTTGTTGACCTTGTAACCCATCTGGTTAAAAAATGGGAGAGAGAAATTCTTCATCATTTGGATTTCAATGCTCAGGACTCCCTTTCCTTATTAGTAAAGGGGACTTGGGGGAGTGGAACTGACTCTGTGGGCATTGGAAGAAGGGCAGGAGAGAACAGGGCCAGAGGCAAGCTCTTAAAGCAGAGACAGGGACAGTAGATTCTGTTTTCTCCATCCATTGTCCTTGTCCCACGAAGGACAGTAAACCCACAAACCTCTCCTGTGTCCCTGGCCCTTTTCCCCCTGTGAGGCCTGGATTCCCACTCCTGACTGGCTTTAGTCAGCAGCCCAGAGCATCTTCCCCTAAGAGGCTATGTTCTTACCAAAGGCTCTCATCGCTGTCCACTGCGGAACCTGCACCAGGCAACTGCAGGAAGACTGCCCTCCACTCTGTCGTCCTTGCAGTGAGGTTCATCTAGTTTTTCTAAGGGGCAGGGAGAACCCCAAAACAAAAAAGTTAACCATAGCCTCTCCTCAAGGCTCAGGGACATTACCCTGATCCAGCAACCCCAGAGAAACTGTCACGAGAGTGACAGTTCAGGATTCAAACTGCCGCGAGATCCCACCCAACAGGCTTCTCTGACATCACGGGTGACCCCAGAACATTCTAAGGGCCAGCACCAACTGACAGCAACTGTCAGATCCTCAAAGGGATCCCCTTGGATACATTTTCGTAAAAATAAATAACCGAAGTATAAAGTATATGGAAGCATATAAATTTGTACTTGCATTTGGTGGGTTTTGATATGCTTATGTATCGCCTATCTTTATGATCACTTTAAGGACTGTTTTCAGTATCCCAACATTTTCTCTGTGTACTTAATTACTTTTCTTTTCTATCCACCCTTAGTCTTAGGAATTCACACATATGCTTCCTGATAGATATGTGAACACACACACACACACACACACACACACACACACTTTTAAAGGGGGAATATAGCTAGCATGAAAAATCTTACCATTCCTCCTCTCTAGTCCCCAGAAACTTAAAGATCTGGCTGGTCTCTGGCCTTGTAGTTGTGACTTTGGTGTTCAGGCGTGACTAAAAGCATTGTGTGATCTGTTCCCGGAGCCACTGGGTGACCCCTGGACATTTGCCCCCAAATTCCCAGCTGCTCCTTTCTACCTGGTTCTTGCGGTTTTAGACCCCTGCTCAGAAGTCCCACTCTTGGGAGCTCTATGTATGAGCCCCTGCCACTTCCTGCTAACCTGTCAACTAGGGGGCATGTCAACTTTAGTAAAGGCCTCTCTGTGTCCCTGGAGAAATGACAGCTGTGACACAGCTGAATTTCCCCCAAACACTGCGATTGGCCATGGACGGTCAGGGAAGAACGTTACTGTGGCCTCCAGTTTGGGAGCAACTGGGGTAGACACTAGGTTTATTTCTGTACTTTCGGGGCACTGAAGGGGTTGAACTCCTGTTGTATACATTCATAAAAATAGACAGACTTGTCCTTTTTTTCCCAGAAGATTTTATTTTTTTTTATTACGTTGAGAGAGAGAAAGAGAGAGAGAGAGAGAGAGAGAGAGAGAGAGAGAGAATAAATATTTTGGTCAGAAGACAACTTGCAGTAAACAATTCTTTTCTTTTCTTCCACCATGTGGATCTGGGAATCGGGATCCAGTCTGGATCATCATACTTAGCAACAAACGCTTTTGCTGACTGAGCTGCCTCACCTGCATCAGTCTCTTTGCACCTGCTGGGTGCGTAGTGAATGGACCTCCCCTGCCCTGCCCTGCATCATCATATATCCGATGGATCTCCCCTCCACTGCCCTGCACCCACATCATCGTGTATTGATGGACCTCCCCTGCCCTGACCCAATCTGAGCTAATCTTTTTTTTTTTAAATTTATTATATATACTGTGTTCTGCTTGCATGTATACCTGCACACCAGAAGAGGGCACCAGATCTCATGATGGATGGTTCTGAGCTACCATGTAGATTCTGGGGATTGAACTCAGGACCTCTGGAAATGTAACCGGTGCTCTTAACCTCTGAGCCATCTCTCCAACCCCCTGAGCTAATCTTAGATGTCAAAAGATTTAATTCAAATATTTAAATGCTGTAGAGGATTATGTCTGACAATGGTGGGGTCAAGTTAGAAGTCAACAATAATAATAATATGCAAAATGAGAAATCTCTAAATACCTGGAAAAGAAGCTACATATTTTTAACCTGATCATGATGAGTCCAAGGAGAACAAGGAAAGGCCTAAAATAGTTTTTGAATGGAATGACCACCAAAGCACAGAATAGTGTAATGTGAAGAGGGACAAGGGGCCCAGACCTCGGTATCTCCCAAAGGCCCAGTGTTCTTCAGCAAGGCCCTGTCTCCTTAAGGGCCCACAACGTTTTAATAGTAACATGGGCTGACCAAGTCTTTGGGGCACAAGCCATTAGGGACATTCACGGGGACATGTCGCACGTTGTCGAATGCACACCATGTACACTTGAGCAAAATGTACATTGGCTATTGTGTTAAGTGTTCTGGAAATGCAAAGTCAAAGTGCTTGAATTTTTATTTTTACAGTTATTTAGTACGTGCTTGTGCACACTCACTTGCAGGGCAGAGGACAGCTTGAGGGAACTGGCTTTCTCTTTTCAACGTGTGAGCCCCAGGGATTGAATCCCCATTCTTTGGCTCGGTGCCTTTACCCGCTGACCCATCTTGTCTGCCTGAGTTGGCTGATAATATTATCTAGTCGTCCGTCTTCACTAATTTTAGTTAAATATTCTAATTACATACAATTACTTAAAGAACTTTAAATTAATGTATATTCATATTATTGTGTGTGTGTATGTGTGTGTGTGCGCTTGTGTGAGTGCATGCATGTGTGTGTGCTATGGCACCCATGTGAAGGTTAGAGGACAATTTTGTGGGGTCAGTTCTCCCTTGTCAATCCCCTTCACCAACACATCTCCTCTCCTTCTTTAGGCAGGGGTTCACTATGTAGCCCAGGTTGGCCTTGATCTTCAGATTCTTCTTCAGCCTCCTGACTGCAGACCGTCCATGGAACTTTTCCATTGGATTAAGAGCAGTGACTTATGATTCTTAACTTGTTATGCCCCCTCTTTGGTTTTGAAAAACTGAGAAATATTTCACTTACCATAAAACTAGTCTTTTATTTATTTTTAAAGATAGTACAAAGAGAAATATTTATATTAGGAACCTTGAGAGCCAGTGTTGAAAGCACAGTCTGCCCATGTTTTGGGAAGGACATGTGAAGTGAACCCAAAGAAACATATGAAAATGGTTCCAATTGCTAGCATTGAAACAAAATTAGTGCCCCCCAAATCCAAATACAATTGAATAGACAGTGTTTTGGGGTCTTGGAGGTGAGGTAGACTCAATGAACCTGGGATTGTCATCTCGTGGTCACTATGATGTCTGTCTGTCCATTGAAGAGCAATCACACCAGGATCCCAGCAGACACACATTTTAGCAAAGCAGATAGTCACAGTGTAACGGGCATAAAATAAATCTCTTAAAAGTGAGAGACTCACTGTGGCCATTATCAGGTTTTACGTAAACAATTCTTTATGGAAACGATGATGTTTATGGCAGGGTTTCCACTTCCCAGGGCAGACACTCAAGAAATGGTTCTGGCATTACAGATGGCATATTCTCCACGTGCATCCAGCATTTCTAAGACTTAGCACACATACAAACCACTGGGGAGTAGGTTCTGTGGATTCTGATTGTGTGTGTGTGTGTGGGGGGGGTGGTACTCCATGTCTCAGTTATGACATATTGAACTATGGCTATGAACTGTAATGTCAGGCGCTGGCAGAGCAGAAGCAGTTACTCCAAGACACCACTAGAGGGTGCCCCGAGCAAACAGTTCTGCAGCGACTTGGTCTAATGAATTCCAGGCAAGCTTTTCTATCGTTGCTTCATCGCTTACCTGTTTCATGGAGGAGGCACAGCAGACGTCTCAGTATTCTAAAGGCAAACTTTCCTTCAAGCCATCCCTTTTAGAAAATTCTCCGAGGTTGTCTTCACAAGGACAGGAGACATTCAATTTATCTGTACTATAAATGTGAAGTAAGAAGCCCATGAATGGATAGGAAAATAATAGCAGTATTATTAATGATGATGATGGTGGTGATGATGAAGAATGGGAGCTATTAGAAGATGGAACAGTGCTAGCACACTAGTTTACTCCTAGGGTTTTATTTAATCCCCGAACTGTCCCATAATATCGACAATGCTCTCACGCTACAGGAAAACAAGGTACCTTTTAGAGACGTTAATATAAGATGCTCATATTCTGGAAGTTATAGGTTGGAGAGCATTTTTCAAATATGTCTTGCCCTTTGGTGTGGTTATTGCATCTAGAAGCTTCTACTGGATTTGAAAATGGCCATCTGTGATTCTCAGTTTGTCAGACTATTTTGTTTTTGTTTGTTTGCTTGTTTGTTTTTCAAGGCAGGGTTTCTCTGTGTAGCCCTGGCTGTCCTGGAATTCACTCTGTAGATCAGGTTGACCTCAGAGATTCTCCTGCCTCTGGCTTCTGAGTGCTGGGATTAAAGGTGGGTACCACCATGCCAACTAGTTTGTCTTATGCTTAGATTTGTTTTAGAAAAAGACTTATGTTATTCTATGCATATGAATGTTTTGCCTGCATGTGTGTCTGTGCACCATGTGCACCTGGTGCCCATAGAAGTCAAAAGAGGGCGTCATGGGATCCCTGGAATTTGAGTTATAGATGGTTGACAACCATAGTGTGGGCTCTGGGAACTGAACCTAGGATCTCTGCAAAAGCAGCCATTTTCTTAACTACTGAGCCATCTCTCCAGCCCCCAGAGAGAAGCTGGACAGAGAGACTTTGATGTGGGTGCTGGGAACCTACCCTTTGACGTTTGGTTATGAGCCTTTGCCTTTAACAGGTGGGCTATCCCTCCCCCCAGCCCTGAAACACTCTTTAAAAACTGAGATATGAGTTACGTGCTGTAAAATTCACCCTCCAGAGAGCTCAACTGGGTGGCGTTTAGCGTCTAGGTTGTTTAATCACCACCATTAGCTAATCTAAATCCAGATGTTTCAGCATTCCCACCTGCTTCCCCCCAGACAAACACAGAGCCCTGTATATCAACAGTCACTCTCCACTGTCCTCCTCCCAGACCCCAGAGCCACTAATCTACCTTCTGTCTCTAGCGACTTTTCCATTCTTGGCATTTCATTTCAGTGGAATCAAGCACACAGCCTTAGTGCTTTACTGTGGCTTCTTCAGAAAGGATGGCTGTGTGCCGTGTGGGATGGAGGTGGGCTGTGAACAGGTCAGTTTCAATGGCAGTTGACGGGAAACGAAGAGTTAAGCAGTATTTAGAAAACTTTTTAGGATGCAGTAGAGTCAAGCCAAATCCAGAATTCTGATAAAAAATAATCCAGCAGAGCTTTATGGCATAGCTCTTGTGGCATAGCTGCTGCTAGTATGCTCTCACACTTTGGCAGACACTTTGCGTGAATGGCCTTAGGTGATGCCCACAGCTCTGTATCAGAAACTGACAAAAAATATAGACAAATTAATGTTTACGCCCTCTCGGGCATGCTCAGTGGCATACCATTATTGAGTGGCAGTAGAGTAAGTCCCATTTATCTCGGAGCTACTCCGAAGTTCATGTCACTTCTCTGAACTTCAATGACAACCTGAAAACGTCCTCCTGTTGGTTTGTGTGCAGACATGTATATGAGTGCATGTCTGTGTATGTATCTGTGCATGGAATGTGAGAGGGCGCGTGCATGTGTGTGCATGTGGGCACGTGGAGGCCAGAGGACAATCTTGGGTGTTGTTTTCCTCGATCCACTTTGCTTTTTGAGACAGGGCCTCTCACTGGCTTGGAACTCCGCACGAAAGCCCTGCTCTCTCTGCATTGCCGATGGTGGGGTTACAAAAGCTTGCTGTTAAGTTTGTCATTATGTAGATTGAACTCATATTCTTGTGCTGGCAAAGGATGCGCTTTATCAATAGCTGAGAGGTCTCCTTAGACCACATCCTAGCTAATAAGTATCTAAGAAAGAAGTGTAATAACTCTACTGCATGTTACTATTGTGATCCGAATGCTGGGAGTTGAGGTGAACACTGAAGAAGGTTTGTAGGGCACAGATCCACTCCACCTCAGCACGGCTAAAGGCTGACCGCTTCACTGTGCTGTGGGCACAGGATGGAAAAAGAACCTCGCTGGAGGGGAACAAGGGCACTCTGTGAATTGTTCAGCTCCAGAAAGGGGGAGGGCCTTAGCACATTTCATCTGAAACTTCAAGAAGGGCATCTTTTCACACCTCCACGGGGCCCTGAAGCCTTGCCAAGGCTCACTCTGGCGCCTGCTGCCTTGCTCTTGAGGTGCCATGGATTGTGTGGCTTGTGTGTCACCTGCACGTTACAGGTGGTGTCTTGTATCTATGGAGAACATCACCGTACAGCTCAAAGGGCACTGCTTGAGGATGTGCATGGAAAAGTGACGTCAAAACTTTGAAAGAAATGAAGGAACCTTTCTGAGTGGGAGAATAGATAAGAACAGGGCAACGTGTTCTATGTATTACTAGAAAGATTAAAAAGCAACGGGGCTGGAGAGATGGTCCAGTGGTTAAGAGTAGGGACTGCTCTTTCAGAGGACAAGAGCTAGATTCTCAGCACCCTCACAGTATTTCACATCCAGCTGATTCCAAGGACCTGATGGTCCCTTCTGCCCTCCTTGGGCACTACACGTACACGGTAAGACATACATGCAGGCAAAACACCCACATGCATAAGATAAAAATGAAGGAAAAAAATCTTAAGTGACTTCATTTGTTTTAATTAACTTGTGGAGTCCAAGGGAGAGAAAAATGTTTTCAGCTGAACGGCCTCGTGGCACACCTGTGATCCTATACGACCTGGTAGAGACCAGTTCAGACTAAGCAAAGCCTGTCTTCCAAAAGATAAAGAAGTTCTGTGGGGACAGCATATTGCAAAGCAGCATGGGTAGTGTGGCATTTGACTAACCATGGAAGCCCCTGAATAGACAAGACTTCCGGTGGGTAAAGTCCCAGGTGTACGTGTGTGGCAGGAGAGTTCTGCGACGTGGTTAGGGAAGTGGTGGGAGGAGGTGGTCACGGAGAAATGGGGACCAGTGGAGTGGTACTTCGGCAAGGTCTGTGCCAATTCTTTAGAGTGTGCTTGTAGGGTCCTGGGAAGCTTCCACAGCCTTCTTTAGAGGATGTTCCAGTTTCAAACTATTTTCATGATACAGTGTGTGAGCGGATTGAGGCTGCTATAGTCTGGGTGGCTTGTACCATGTACACTTACTTCTGACAATTCTGGATGCTAGAAGTCTGGGGAAGCCTGCTTTTCAGATTCACAGATGGATTCTTGGTGTATCTTCATGGAGTGGAAGGGGCGAAGGGAGCTTTCTGAGGCCTCTCTTCCTGCCTTTTTAATGAAGGCACTAATTCCATTTGTGAAGCCCCCACCCTCATAATCAGATGACCCTGCCAAGGTATTAACTCCTAACGTCATTGTGTCGGAGATTTAGTTTGCAACACCTGCATTAGGAGGGGACACAAGTATCCAGTCCGCAGCAAACACTACGGTGTTCCTTCACCTTTCACTGAGACAACATTTGCACAGGTGGCCCCAAACCAGTGTCCTACAAGCCTGTAGAAGGCTACTACAAAGCAAGGGCGTGGCTCGATACAGTGTTCCTCACTCATACATCCTGTGCTGCCACAAAGTCAAAGTGGAAAGGAAACTATGTGGCTTCACTCAAGGGTTACCGTAAAGGGGCTGGAGAGATGGCTTGGCAGTGCAGAGTACACGCTCCTCTTTTTGTAAAGGACCCAAGAGCAGTTCCCAGCACTCACACTGGATAGCTCACTACTGCCTGAAACTTCAGCTCCAGGAGATCTGACATCTTCTTCTTGGTTCTACAGGCATCTGAACTCACATGAACAGCACATATACATACATACACTCTCACACACAGCATGAAATTAAATCTTACGGGGCAGTGGTAGTGCACACCTTTAAAACCAACACACAGGAAGCACAAGCAGGTGGATCTCTGTGCATCTGAGGCCAGTCTGGTCCACAGAGTGAGTTCCAGGGCAGACAGGGCTACACAGAGAAATATTATCTCAACAAAACAAAACAAAACAAAACAAAATCTTAAAAAAGAAAAAAAAGAATGACCTGGAAGAAGTGGCGGAAACTAAGTCTGGTTCTTGTATACGTAATTACAAGCTTGTTTACTAATACAGAGCCTCTGCTGTACCCCAGGGGCAGTTACTGCCTCCCATTGTTCTTGTGGAACCTGTTTCTATTGCAAAGAGTGACAGACCAACTGTGGTTGCTTGGAAGAGGGAAATTGGAAAATACTTTTCTTAAAACGAACAAAACAAGCCTACTATTCCAAGGAAAAGAACCAACAGTATTTGTTACCAATGATCAAGCCCATGTTTTCAAGCATGAGCGAGAGTTTTGGAAAACTTGCTCCTGCCACCACAAGTTTGACAGCGACGACGCTAAAATCCTTGCAGACTCTTCCAGTGAACGCCGTTGCAGGATGAACACATGGGATTTTTGATGTTGTGTAATCAATCAAATGGCGCAGCCTTTGGAGGAGCCGCGGAGCTGGAGGACCAGAATTATCCAGACGATCTCCCCGTCTTGTCACAGCGTCATTTTCGTTTCTTTCTGCATTTCCTTTTCAACTCAGTTTTTTTTTTAACCCAATGCAAGGTTACTGCTGTGGCCTGGATCCTTCCAGAGTCACGCCTGGAAGTCCTAACCCACACTATTTCAGAAGGTAACTGTATTTGGAGATCTGTCTTTTCAGATTCAGTTAAGGCAACTGTGCCGTCAACTAGACACAGCTAGAGGCATCTGGGAAGAGGGAACCTCAGTGGAGAAAATGCTTCTATCAGCTCGGTTTGTAGGAATGTGTGTGGGCCATTCATTCATTCATTATTTATTATTTTTTTTTGCATTGATGCTTTGCCCGCATGCATGTCTGTGTGAGGGTGTCATACCTTGGAGTTACAGACAGTTGTGAGCTGCTATGTAGGTGCTCACAACTGAACCTGGGTCTTCTGGAAGAACAGTTAGTGTTCTAAACAGCTGAGCTGTGTCTCAAGCCCCCATTCATTTACTCTTTTTTTGAGACAGTGTTTCACTAGGTAACTGTGGCTGTCCAGGAACTCCCAAAGTAGCCCCGGGCTGGATGGATCTACAGAGATCCACTTTGGTCTTCCAAATGCTGGGATTAGAGGCATGGATCACCACTCCTGGCCTATGGGGCATTTGCTTGGTGAATGGTGCAGGAGGATGCAGTTCACTGTGGTACCATCTCAGGGCATTTCCTGGGCTGTCACTGAAACATGCTGAAGAAGTCATGGAGAGTGAGCCAGTAGGCTCTATTTCCAGGGCTCCTGCCTCAGTCAGTGCCTGCCCTGACTCTCGTCAGTTAGGGACCGAAGCTGTTAGAGGAAATGAACCCTTTCCTCTGAATCGATTTTGGTCAGTGTTTTATTACACAAGTAGAAAGAAAACTGAGACAGCAAGTAGGTTAGACGGGGGCTACACTCAGACGTGAGTAGAGTCCTTACCCCAAGTGGAAGGCTGTGTACATGTTGGAAAAATCTCACGTAGGAACAGAATGGAGAATTATCCATCTACAGCGAAGGAGAGAGGACAGAAGAAACCTACCCTGCCCACATCTTAGTCCAGACTTTAAGCCTCCAGAAAACTATGAGAAACCGGTTATTATTTAAACCACCCAGGTTGTGGCATTTTATGACGCCATCCCCAGAAAGTTAACGTGGTTGTTTAGCTTCTAAGGACAGTAGGTTCTTGGAACTGAAGTTGTCTGGGTTGTGGCAATGATGAACCTGCTGGACTCTACCTTAATATCAGTAGCCATTTCATTACAAAGGCAAGATAAGTTTGTTTCTGTTTACTAAACTTGAGTTTAACCATGCCCTGACCCGTTTTCTGGTATTTGGCATGTTTCTTATACCCTATACCCTGCCCTCTACCCTCAGAAGATAAGGTGTTTTGCCAACCAAAATTCCCCGAGAAACCCTCAATCCTTGAAAACCCCCAAGTCTTAACAGTTTTAGGGCTATAAAATCCCTACTTCTCCTGTGTTCAGGGCTGAACTCTCAAATCTCACATGGAGAGATGGCTTGTCTTCCAAAGGTCTGTGTGCTCTTCTAAAGGTCCCGAGTTCAATTCCCAGCAACCACATGGTGGCTCACAACCATGTATATTGAAATCTGGTGCTGTCTTGAGTAAGAGACCTGGTCAGTCATTCTTATCAACTTAGACCACGAAACCCAATATGGACAAGTTAAACAGAACTGCCATATGTGGACTGCCCATGCATGCTTCAGCATTGCCAGAGCATAAATTTCATTCATTCATTCATCCATTCATCCATTCACTCATATTCATTCATTCAGTGGCTGGATCAACTATATATTGTGTGCATATAATAAAGATTGCTTAATTCAACCAAAAGTGTTTGGGTTAGTGGTCTTTACTCATGTTTGGTGGGATTAACAGCAGCAGCCCACAGCACACCTAGACCCTCACCTCTCTCTCCTGTCCCCGAGTTATCTTCTCTGTTGTCTTTTCCTCCTTCCATTCCCCTCCTCTCCCATTTCCTGCTTTTTCATACCCAAAAGCTCAGGTTGAAAATTTTTCTGAGAGCTGGTGCTGTTGTCACTGTTGGTGTGTCCGTGTGTGTGTGCACAAACACAGCGCTGTTGTCACTGTTGGTGTGTCTG